CACTTGAACCCGGGAGGCGGAGGTTGCAGTGGGCCTAGATCTGGCTGCACTCCAGCCCAGGCAACAGAGCAAGAATCCCTTTCAAAGAAGAAGAAGAAAAAAAAAAAAAACAGAAAGAAAAAAAAGAAACAAACTGTGCTCATCTCTGGAGTGATCATACATTTAGCACAGAATAAAAAATTGGACAAGCATGGGGTGTTTCAGTCTATGCAAAAGTTTGGGTATTTGCACTCAAGGTCTCATTTTTGTAGCTTGCTAAATTTAAATTCTCTGAGCTTGCGGGTGTATATGAGGTTGTTACAGGGCCAAAAATATCTGAAACTTACTTACGAAGGTACTCTAGGATTTCTAAATTTAATGTGATATAGATTACACACAAACATGCCCTGTCTTATGTGAATTAATTCTTGTGGGATCCAGGCAATATTACGAACTACAGAAATTGCTCCATGTCAACTTTTTGGGTAGTTTTAGAAATCTGTGGTAATTCTGGATATTATTTAGATTGTATTTTGGATATCTTTAATTGGCTTTGGGAAATTAGACTAATAAAATACTGAGTTGATGAATATTAATACTTCTGTTTTGTTAAAGATCTTATGTGGGATTCTACTTGTATGAAATTCTGAGATAGCGCTTGGTGTTCCCCTAGAAGGAAGCTAAAATTTTGTTTTTTGTGTTTTTGTTTGTTTGTTTGTTTGTTTGTTTGTTTTCAGGCAGTTGGGGCTCCAGTGAAACTGACAAGGGGGTAGTCTGGACTTGCATATTCAGGAATCAATTCCAGATGTCTGGCCAGATGGTAATAAAGAGAAACACATGCTTTAATAGGGCAATATATAGCATAGCACATTAAAGTCTGTTACAGGGTAAAGTTAGTAAGTTTTTCGGCAAGAACAAGATGAAAAGAAACCTAATTAAATCAAATGTTAATATAACCTCAGAAAATCTTCATGAGAGAAGTTCTACCCAAGTCCTCATGCGAAACAATATAATGCACATCTCTAGCATCCTGTCTTAGTAACTCATATTACTTTCCCACTTCTGAGATGATTTTAATTGCTCATTCTCCTCAGGAATACTTACATATCTGCCTTCTCCTCTGACTGAGGGATGCCCCCAGGCTTTCTATTCTTGACTGTGGTCAAGCCCTTTGGATGTTAAATTCCAGAACAAATTTATCTTCCTTGAGGATTAAATGAATTTATAGATACATAGATAGATAATAGACATATACCACCTATATATATCTATATAAGTGTGTGTGTGTATATGTATATATATATATATATATTTTTTTTTTTTTTTGAAACAGGGTCTTGCTCTGTTGCCAGGCTGAAGTACAGTGGTGTGATCATGGCTCACTGCAGCCTCCACCTTCCAGGCTCCAGTGATCCTCCCATCTCAGCCTCCCAAGTAGCTGGGACTACAGGCAGGTGCCACCACACCCGCTATTTTTTAAATTTTTTGTAGAGACAGGGTCTCTCTATGTTGCCCAGGCTGGTTTCAAACTCCTGGGCTCACGTGATCCTCCCACCTCGGCCTCCCAAAGTGCTTGGCTAGGCATGAGCCATTGTGCCTGGCCTTTGAATTTATATACTTTTCAGGAAAGCTGGTCCAGAGTTTCCTGGTAGGTCTGGTCCTTTGTAGGTCTGGTTTCCTGGACTCTGGAAACTCTGTTAGTGTTAGTTTTCCTCTAGCATATTTTTAAAGATCAAAACTGAACTTCACTGGGTTAGAATATTATTACTTTTATCAGGAAAAGGAAGGGGTAACACAGGGTAAGTCAGAGACAAAAAATGGCTATGCTCCAAGCAAAAGTAGCCCTTTCACCTCCCGTAACTTCCAAGACCTCTTCGGCACTATGAAACAAATTTCATAATTTAGACTCAGACTACCACCTTTATTTAAGGAACTTCCCATAAGGAAAATATTTTTATTCTTCCACATGAGGATACACTTTTTGAAAAAAACAGAGAACAACAATTACCTCCTTTAAAAAAAGAATAAAGAGAATAATAATAAATTAATGCATTGGTACCATACATCTGGAATATCAAGACATAGGTAGCAAAAAATCAAGGAAAGGCTGTGAATATCAGAAAAATAAAATATCCAGTAAACACAAACATAAAAGAAACTGGGAAAAAAAAGTCCAAGTTAAAGCAGAAAAATGTGCTATATGAATTTTTTAAAATTATAAAGTACTTTAAAGACAAAGTACTTGAGGATAGATGAAGAACCTCCTATAATAATCATCAGGATCTGAATAATAAACTAAAATAGTCCCCTTGGTACACTGTAAAGTATGCAATTTTAATTATGTGATTTTTCTAGCTAATTTCTGCTTCAAAAACAGTAAAGTACTTCTGCTTACAAGGTGGCAGAGACAAGAACTTTTCTCAACCTCTCAAATGCACGTTGTCATCAAAATTTAAATTACCAGAAACATGCCTTTTAGTTAAATTACAATTAGTCCTTAGACAAATCTATTTACTGAGAATTTGCTATGTGCCCAACACTGTTGGCATATACTAAACAAGTTTGCTTTTGTAAAGCACTTTTTCCTTTTCAGGTTCTCACAAAGGACATTTTAAAACAAACTATATTTGTTTTTCAGTATTAACTGCACATGCTGAATACATCCATTATTATAAATTGCTCTTACTCAGGAGCATCTTAGCTTTTAAAAGACAAAAATATATCCAGTTGTATTTGTGTATATATATTTTATATCAGTTATATATGGAAGTCAATCAACAATGATAAATACAAACAGATTGACAAATAAAACAACAATTTTTGGGGGAATGGAAATGGCACATTTGTCAGATGATATCCACAAATAATTAATTACTTCACACATTAAAGATATTCTCATAATAGTAGAGTCTCTTATAAAAGGATACTCATTACATTCTAACCATCTGTCATCATTCTTCCCTAAAAAACTAATTAGGGTTTTATCCAATCACACATTATAAATGATGCAAATATGGATGGTAAAGACATGGGTTGAAGAAGTTAACATGAAAACATTTGCAGTTTAAAAATCGTGGGCTTCAGAACCAGCCTTTCACGTTCCAATAATTAAACTGTTTATTTTTATCATCTTTTTCTGATTAACAATTAGATACTAAACTTCAAAAATTAAAAACACTTACAGGTAGTAGAGTTTTCCTGCAGCAGGAAGTTCCCTTTTCCGGTAATCTATCCCAGAATCTAGCTGGACTGTATGACAATATTCCTATGATCCAAACAAATAAAGTGTCTTTTTAAACAAGTAGTGGCTCAGAATTACAATACTTCCCTTATACTATACATTTTTTAAATTTTTCAAATGTTTGCTCAAAAAATAGTATAATGAGATGACATGAAAACAACAGAACTCATGCAAGATTCATAAAACTAAAGTTGCAATATTAAATATATCAAGCCACTGAAATATCAGTTTAAAAAAATTAAAATTTGCATCATGTTTTCTGAAACATTGCCCAAAAAGTGCTGTCAGCAAATTCCCCAAATAACTTCATTTGGGTTTTTTTTAAAACCCAATTTCTAATACCCTGGAGTGAGAAACTAGAGGCTACCAGAAAGAATAACTCATGGGTTTTAGGCACCACAGTGGGGGAGAGGCAGCATCAGAGAGCTGGGACTGGACATGGTGGCTCATGCCTGTAATTCCAGCACTTTGGGAGGCTAGATGGGCAGATTGTTTTTGTCCAGGAGTTTGAGACTAGCCTGGGCAACATAGCAAAACCCATCTCTACAAAAAACACAAAAATTAGCTGGGCATGGTGACATATGGCCTGTAGTCTCAGCTACTTGGCTGGCTGAGATGCAAGGATTGCTTGAGCCTGGGAGGTGGAGGTTGCAATGAGCTATGATCATGCCACTGCACTCCAGCCTGGGCAACAGAGCAAGACCTTGTCGAGAGACAGAGAGAGAGAGAGAAAGAAAGAGAAAGAGAGAGAGAGAGAGTTGGGCCAGAACGTTAGTGTCCACATTTTAAACCAAATGACCAAACTAGAATGATGTTGTAGGTATGCCCATCCTTCGCTTCTAAATGGCTGCCACTGCCCTTGTCTCCCTTTTAGTTTCCTCTCTAGCCATCAACATTTCAGTGCACTTTCCTGCTGTGGATGCCTGCCTCCTTTCAACCCGAGTTACCCTGTGGCATTAATGTCCTTCTCTTCTCCCAAGTGCTCCTTTCTTTCCACTCCCCCAGGGTGCATATGTGTACACCAGCACATATACCACACACATACACATACCCCCCAAATTCTTACTTTGAGGGCAAATGTACTTTTGCAACACCTATCTTCTTGGTCAGTTGGATTTTGGGGGCCATGAGAGGAATATATGTAGGGGTGTGTGTGTGTGTGTGTGTGTGTGTGTGTGTGTGTGTGTATCTCCACATAGATAGAGGCATATTCATTTTATTGTGTTTCCCTTTATTGTGCTTCTCGCATTTTTTACAAAGTAAAGGTTTGTGGCAACCCTGCACTGAGCAAGTCTATTGGCCTCAATTTTCCAACAGCAGGTGCTCACTTTGTGTCTCTGTGTCACATTTTGGTAATTCTTGCAATAGTTCAAACTTTAAAAAATTATATCTGTCATTAATTATATGATCAGTGATCACATATTAATTATGTGATCAGTGATCTTTGATGCTATTACTGTAATTGTTTTAGGGCACCACAAACTGCATCCTTAGAAGAGGGTGAACTTAATTTATACATGCTGTTTGCATTCTGACTGCTACACCAACTGGCTGTTTCTTTCTCTCTCTCTCTCTCTCTCTCTCCTTAGGTGTTCCTATTCTCTGGGACACAAGAATATTGAAATTACGTCGATTAATAGCCCTACAATGAATTCTAAGTGTTCGGGTGAAAGGAAGAGTCACACATCTCTCACTCTCAATCAAAAGCTAGAAATGATTAAGCTTAATGAGGAAGGTATGACAAAAGCCACAACAGACAAAAACCTAGGCCTCTTGCACCAAACAGTTAGCCGAGTTGTGATTGCAAAGGAAAAGTTCTTGAAGGAAATGAAAAGTGCTACTCCAGTGAACACATGAACCATAAGAAAGCGAAACAGCCTTATTATTGATATGGATAAAAGTTTGAGTGATCTGGATAGAAGATCAAAACAGCCACAACGTTCCCTTAAGTCAAAGCCTAATCCAGAGAAATGTCCTAACTCCTTTCAATTCTATGAAGGTTGAGAGAGGTGAAGAAGCTGCAGAAGAAAAGCCGGAAGCTAGCAGAGGTTGGTTCATGAGGTTTCAATAAATAAGCCATCTCTATAACATAAAAGTGCAAGGTAAAGCAGCAAGTGCTGATGCAGAAGGTGCAGCAAGGTATCTGGAAGGCTTAGTTAAGATCATTGATGAAGGTGACTACACTAAACAACAGATTTTCACTGGAGATGAAACAGCCTTCTACTGGAAGAAGATGCCAACGAGGACTTTCATAGCTAGAGAGGAGAAGTCAATGCATGGCTTCAAAGCTTCAAAGGACATGCAACTGGTGACTTGATGTTGAAGCCAATGTTCATTTACCAATCTGAAAATCCTAGGGCCTTTAAGAATTATGCTACATCTACTCTGCCTGTGCTTTATAAATGAAACAACAAAGCCCTTGGATGGCAGCACCTCTGTTTACAAAATATTTTAAGCCTACTGTTCAGAGCTACTGCTTAGAAGAATGATTATTTTCAAAAGATTACTGCTCATGACAATCCACTTGGTCATCAAAGAGCTCTGATGGAAGAGCATGAGATAAATGTTGTTTCCCTGCCTGCTAACATAACATCCATTCTGCAGCCCATGAATCAAGAAGTAATTTCAACTTACAAGTCTTATTATTTAAGAAATACATTTTGTAAGGCTATATCTGCCATAAATATCTTTTGTGAAAGGAAGAGTCAATCTATATAGCAACCTTCAACATTATCTTAAGAAACTGCCACAGCTACTCCAACCTTTGGCAGCCACCATCCTGATTAGGCAGCAGCCGTCAACATCAAGGCAAGACCAGCAAAAAGATGACCACTCACTGAAGTTTCAGATGATTATTGGCATTTTTAGCAATAAAGTATTTTTTATATTAAGGTATGTATTTTTTTAGACATAATACTATTGCACACTTAATAGACTATAGTATAGTATAAATATAACTTTTATATGCACTGGGAAGCCAAAAGCTTCTTACAACTCATTTTATTGCAATACTGTTGTATTGCAGTAGCCCAGAACCAAACCCTCGATATCTCTAAGGTATGCCTGTGCAGATATAGATGGATGGATAGATAGATAGATAGATAGATAGATAGATAGATAGATAGGGAGATACTCACTTCAGTAGAAGAATGGTGACCAAGGGATTTCAGGACAAGTCAAGAAACAATTATAGGCTGACATTTTGTTTGCATTCAAAATGAAAATTGTCTTAATAACAATTCATGGGAAAAATATATTTTAACAGTATCACTACTTTTACTAATGAAAAAATTCATTTTTTTTTTTTTTAAGACAGAGTCTTACTCTGTTGCCCAGGCTGGAGTGCAGTGGCGTGATCTCAGCTCACTGAAACCTTCTCCTCTTAGGTTCAAACAATTTTCGTGCCTCAGCCTCCCAAGTAGCTGGGACTACAGGCATGTGTTACCATGCCCGGGTAAGTTTTGTATTTTTAGTGGAGATGGAGTTTCTCCCTGTTGGCCAAGTTGGTCTCGAACTCCTAGCCTCAAGTGATCTGCTCGCCTCAACCTCCCAAAGTGCTGGGATTACAGGCATGAGCTACCACGTCCAGTCAAAAACTGCATTTTTCAAACCTTTGGAACCAAGGTAATTGTGGTGGGTTTTAAGACTTGTACATTGTAAAATAATCTCTCCATCTCAACATGTTCTTCTTACAATGTGATGCTGATATTCCAGTTATCAAGAAATGAAGTCTATGTCCCACCCCTTGAATGTTGTGACCGTGATGGAAATGGTCTATGCAATAATATCCTAGGTGACACTTGAGGCAGCTTCTTATTGGTTGGAATGCTTTCTTTGGAACTCTGAAGTGTCAATTGAGCATGTAATTGCCTGGAGGCTATTATGCTGTGAGAAAGCTTAAACTATCCAATACAGAGAGAGGAGGCCCTGGAGAGGCACTGAGATGACATGAAGACAGAGGTGTTGACAGTCCCCAGCTGTTCTAGCTGTAGCCACTATCTTACTGAAGGAGCCAGTATTGCCAGCTGAGCCTTTACCAAATCCCTGACCCACAGAAACCAGGAGAGAATAAAGTAATGTTTTTTAAGACTCTTTTGCAGTCATTTTACAATAATTTGTTATGCAGCGAGAGACAATCAGAACAGCAATATCTGGGCACACTTGAGAAGTAGCAATGCTCTTCCTCCCTGAAAGTGCATCCTGGGTTGTACGGTTACACAAGGGCTGAGAGCTGTTTATCATCTGCATCCAGGGCATAGATTGCATTTCCCCTTCTCTTATGCTTCAGCTGCTAAGGGGCTCAGGAGAGTCAAACAGGTGACCAATAATCCCCTGGAAATGAGGGGTTTCCTGAAGACTAAGGGGGGTTTCTGGATATAGAACTTTCAGTGCTAACACTAGGACAACCTTAGACAATCTGGGATGGTTGGTTAACCTGAGTGAAGACCCAGAAGATTGGGTTGTGGCTAGTGTAAGTACAGCATTTTGATTATGTATCAGCAATTCTGAATTTGATTGACATGAAATAACACCCAAGAAGCTGGTCCTCTAGAGAGGCCTACAAACCTAGGCTTTTGAACTAACATTTGAAGAACAGCCCTGAAAAACTAGCCAAGTCATGGCTCTCTGCAATGCTGGCATGAGCAACCTGTTGGCATCTCCATACAGATATCCCTAGCTCATCATTCCAATTGTCCAAATCCAACTCCCCAGGCCTCTCCTTCAGGACCTGGGCCCTATAACCAATCCCACCAGAGGAGAATACAGCATTGCCCAAATACATGCATTCCACTCTCTCCTTGCCTCAAGATGTCCTGTTTTATATATATACTATATTACTTCTTGAGAAGAAGAGAGAGATATGACTATCCTAGGTGACACTTGAGGCAGCTTCTTATTGGTTGGAATGCTTGCTTTGGAACTCTGATGTCATTTTCTTGATGTCATAAATGTGAACATTTTCTTGATGTCATAAATATGAAAAAATAGATACTTTCTTTCCCTTGTTCCTGCTATAATTGTGA